GGGGCCGCTCTCCACGCCTCTGTCTCCTCTGTGTGGTGGGACCCTGAGGCTGCCCCTCCTCGGAGGACCCTGAGGCAAGTCCCCCTGCAACATGATCTCAGCTGGTCTCAAGAATAATGTTCTCGAAGGACTCAGCAGGGGCCTGGCCTGGAGGACGGGGTGAGCGAGCAGAGGCCGTCAGCTCTCAGCCTCGTGGTCAGGCCCCGCTCACCGGCCCCTGACTCACCTGGACAGTTGTCTGTAGTCTCGGCTGCAGTGCACAGGAAGGCGATGGCCAGGGCCATGGGCCCCATGGCAACGGCTGCTCTGCTCAGCTGCATCTCGGGCCCTGGCTGCCAAGGAGGTCACGCCTTTTATTGGCTGCGCTGAGCCCAACCTTTGGCTCTATTTCCCGCCGCGAAGAGGCCAGACCCCTTCCTCCCCCAAGCTTGTGGTGTCAACTAAAGGTAGAGTCTCCTCGGAGGACAGTCTCTCCCACACCCCCCAGCTCACTGAATGTGCTTCCTCTGGAGTGGGCCCAGCTCCCCCTCAGCTGGAACACTGTCCCCCACCCCACCCAGGAGCCTCTCCAACGCCCTGCATGGGGAAGGCTCTGCCTGCCTGTTTGTGTCTTTACTGAAAGCCCAGGGGCCCCTCTCATTACCCGCCTCTGTCCGGATTGACCACCTCTGAAGGTCATCCCAGGACGGCAGGGTTGGGGGGGGGTCATTTGCATACAATGGGCTTCAAATCAACAGAGATTTAAAAACTTCCTGGGTGTCTCAGGTGGGGGGAGGGAGAGCAGAATGTCTGCAGGGGGTGGCTTCTGACTGCAGCCAGGCCAGAAGTGTGGCAAAAGGGCTGGCAATCTGGGACATTGACAAATGCCAGTCCAGCCAGTACTGCAAAGAGGCCAGACTGTGAACCAGACTGTGGCAGCTTCAGCCTGAATAGCGGAGTGGGGAGGTGGCATTAAATTGTCCCCGGGGGGCCATTTGACAGCAGCCAGGCAACCTGAACCCACACCCGGGAGAGAATTGCTAAATCTGGAAGCTCTCACCTGGGATGGAGTCCAGTTAGAGACGGAGGTGGCAGGTCTGTGGCTCTAACCCCAGTACCCATCCAGGTGTGACATTGGAATCCTGACCCCAAGTCAGACAAAACCACTGCAGGACCGAGGTTCCATGGGTTACATTTCAGTGTCCCTGGGGTCAGTGGGCTTGAGAATGTAACAGCTGCTCACAGACCCTGACGCCGGAGAGAGGAAAAGTAAGTTTCACTGTCCCCCCCCAAACACTTAGCAGAGACCCCTGTCATACTGACACTGAACCAGGTTTGGCTGCCTGGCGCTTTGCGCGCCAATACTCCAGAGGCAGGTGCTGGTGTAAAAAAAGACATTTCACTCAAAAGCCGGCAGCTGAGAAGATGGGAACTCCCTCCGTCCCAAAGCCCGTCTTAGCAACTGGCCGGGGGCAGGGGCTTCTGCAAGGAGGGGGCGGGAAAGCGAACCAGAGGTGGGGGGAGGAAGCTGCAAGTCAGCGGACTGTTGACACTGGCCGAGGGCTGGTGGGGTTTGCTCGCCCGTCTGGCTTTGGTGGCTGAGAGTGGGCACACCTGCTGGGGCCGGGACACCTGGGCTGGGGCCGGGACACCTTCCTTTGAGGCCAGTTCCTGGAATCTTACACAAAGGTGTTGCTTATCTACAGGTCACCAACTGGTATTTACAGTAACCAGGTTACAAAACTGTGAGGTGGGTTACAAAATAAGATTAACAGGAGGAAACAAGGAAGTTTGTTCATACGCTTAACTCCTGTGCACTCCGGACCTGCTCAGGGCAAACCAGGAACCCTGCAGGTGCCGAGGAGCTCAGGACTGACATCCTGTTCGCGGGGGAGGAGGGGACGCAGGCCTCGGGCCGACGAGGTTTGCGACGGTCCGTCTGCCTGTGCGTGGACCTGTATCTCATCGCCTGTGCTTCCCGCTGAGTGTAGACAGGTTGGGAGACTGACATTCCCAGGATCCCTATTTTAGCGTAAATGAAGCTATGTCCATTTGTAACCCATCCCCCATCCTTTAAACATTGTTTCTGTAAATGATGAGCTGTTACCTAATATGGGACTGCAGATAAACAGCCTATTTTCTTAAGAATTCTAGGAAATTAATTCAAAAGGAGCAGAGACTCCGGAGTGTGCAGGAGGTAAGCGTCTTAACAAGACCTTCAGACATCCCAGCTCCGGCTCCAGGAGATTTGCTGACCTTCGGCCAGTTATCCGAGCAGACTGTCGGCTCGCAGTCCCCGCAGCAGAGAACTCTCAACCCCTCCTTTCCATTCCTTTTTTCGGTTTTTTTCCTTCCATCTCCGTCCTTACAAAACCCCTGTCTGTGTCCAATTGTTAAGATGGTCTTTGGGGCTAGAGTCCCCCATTTTCTCAAGCTGCCAGCTCTTGGATAAAGACTCTTTCCTTGCACCAGCACCTGTCTCTCGGGTACTGGTGTTCCAAGCAGCAGGCGGCCGAACCTGGGTTTGGTATCAAATTTGGCATTTTGAGTATTGGCAATATTTAAGAACATTTGGCCTATTAGAGCGAAGGCCTGATAATCCAATGGAAAGCGTGCACTTGAGTCGTGGAACAAGTAATGGAACAAGTGCACATCTTGCTGTGATGATAGTTTTAGAACAGGGAAGAGACCCCTAAGTTCTTTGTGTATTTATACCATCCGATTTCTAGAAATTCACTTGTACTCAGAAGGTTCCGTTGAAGGTAGGCAACTGAAATGCCAGAACACAAATTCCCATCTATTCGTTTTGCAGACGCAATTAAAATGCTTAAAGCTGTTAGATTAACTAAGTCAGTGAGTGGAACAAGAATTATTCATAGGCCCCTTGAAGGAGGTTATTAAAATGTGCCTGTTACATACAGAATAAGATTTACAAGTGAAACTTAAAAGCTTAGGGAAGGAATCACTGGACCTTTGAAGTGAACGTTTTAATAAATTGAACAAATTACATTTGAATTAATTTAAAAAGATGGTGACACACCGAGTGAGCGTCTTTGTGCATGAAAAGAAACAAAACTTAGGGACGGAACACCACAGAGGAGAAAGAAGGCCGTGTCACAAGGATCAGGCACAGCTCCGCTCACATGCCTCCGAGGGCATTGCTGGTTATGGATGGGGACACTGAGGCCCAGAGAAGGAGAGAGGCTGCCCGGGCCACATAGCCTGGGCGTGGTGGGTCAGGATTAGAGCCTGGCTCCCCACGGGTGTTCAGGCCAGCCTGCCGTCCTGCCCCCTCGCTCTGACTCCCAGCACAGGCCTCCGCGCCCACGGTGATGCTATTAGAAGCTCAAGCTCCTGGTCCGGTCCACGATGTCATCTCTAACGGGCCGGCACAGGAATCAGACATTCCCATCTGCTCAGCTCGGAGGCCTGGACAGCATGCTTTCCTAGTCACGCAACATTTTTGGTATGGTCTATCCAAAGAATGTTTTATTTGTTTATTTCTAATATTTACAATCAGTTCAGTTCATTTTTAAAGATTTTCCTTATGTCTTAAAATCCCAGAGGGAATTTGATGCCAGCTAGGGTGCCACAAACCCCCACGGAGGCCCTGGTATCATCGTCCATGGTCACGTCCCCCGGGGTCTCCTCCTCTGACAGGTGCTGGGAGAGGTGAACTCGGCCCGCACGCTTCACCGCACCATCTGGCGGGTTCTTCACTCGCTCTCTTGTTTGTACTGAATTCTATTCTAAAAAAAGTTGTCAAGTTGATTTGCACCAAAGGATTGCTGATAAAAGAAATAAAGAAAAACACCTCTCAAATCTTTGAAAGATTTTCATTTTAAAGAGATTTCAAGGTTTCTATGAATGGAACTCATTTGTTTACAGTGGAGTTTGGGCATCGGGAAAGCGGGGTGTGTTTTGAGCAGCTGTGAAATCCAGTCTGCAGCAGATACCTGCCGATTCTCTGGCCAGGCCTGGCTGAGGTCAAAGCCTGGGAGGCCCACAATCCTGCATGTTCCAAGCGGAGCAGGACACCTGGGAACTTTCTAGAATTAAAGTTCCCTGGGACACCCAGACCTACTGACTCAGAGGCCAGGTGACTCAGATGCAGGCTCAAGTGGCTTCCAGGCCCTGGCCGATGGCATTCTTGGGGTGTGAGGTGGAAGCACCTTCCTCACCCTCAATGCTTTCTCATCACGGGGCCCAGAAGCCCACTGCACACAGCCCCGGAGCCGCACCCCCTGCGCCACGCTGAGGGGGATTCGGAGCCCCGACGGGCAGCCCACTCTACCCCAGCCCGCTGTCAGCAGGACCAAACCTGGGCCGACCTGGACTCCTGCCGAAAATGTCGCCAGCCTCTGAAGAGCATGCAGAATGGACGGCCACGGCCAACACTCACTTGTATGGCTCCTGTGCCCATCAGGAGGGCGGTGGGCAGCTCCAGGGGCTGAATCAGAGCCCCGCCTCCGGAGGATCGCCCGGCCTGGGGAGCACGTGGTGTGACGTGTGTGTGTTTCCCACGCAGAGCTGGAGGCAGCAGATCAGGGAGGCGGCAAGGCAGCTGGTGTCCCAGGGCTGAGCGTGGGCTGGGGCGTTTGCCAGTTGCCACCCAGCTCAGTGTTAATGCCTCGAGGCCCCGGAAGCCCCTGGGAAAAACGGACCCAGCCCAGCCCAGGGCGATGAGTGGGTCACAGAGTCAGATCCAATCCATCATCCTGGCCTGAGCCCACTCCTCCCTCCGTGAAGCCTCCTGCTGATGTGCATTTGCAGGGGCCCCACCCTTCCCCACGAATCTGTCACAGGCAGAGCAGCTTAGGAAGGAGCAGTGGACACGTAGGGCCCTATTTCCACCTGACGTTGACCTCCACCTGCACGGCAGACACCTGGGGCAGGGATTGCGTGTCTTCCACGTTCATATCCCCGTGGCCTTTGCGTGGGCCAAGGGGGGAGCTGGGTCACAGTGGAGTGACGGTGTGTGCCACAAGCCCCTGACCCTGTCTGCCGTGGCTCCCGCTACGGAAAATGAGGCTCTTCCCGCCACGCCATGCACAAGCTCCTGCCCTCCTCTTCATTTCTCGCTGAGGTATAAGCAGGGAGGGTCAGCTCTGGGACTGAGGCTGCAAGAGCAAAGGAGCCCTCCTATTGACAGGCATCCCAAAGAGTCTTTGGCCAACAGACAGACAGACAGACAGATACCACAGAGGCATGCAGGGGGAATTCCAAAGCCATCTCCGCACATCTCCAGATTCTTCTCTGTCCCAGGCTAGCTGGCACCCTCCTCCTGCACACTGGCCCAGGCTAGCTGGCACCCTCCTCCTGCACACTGACCCAGGCTAGCTGGCACCCTCCTCCTGCACACTGACCCAGGCTAGCTGGCACCCTCCTCCTGCACACTGGCCCAGGCTAGCTGGCACCCTCCTCCTGCACACTCCAGCCTGCTCTGAGCACACCACCCCTCAGCCTGTGGATGGATCCACGGGCATTGGCTCTGACTTGGCCACCTTTGGGTGGTTTTCTGGAGTGCTGGCCATGAGTCCAGCCTCTTCAGATGTGCCCACCTCATTACAAGTAGAATGCCCTCCTCTCTACTCACTTGGGCAGCTGGGACCCGGGCTGGGGCACCCTCTCGTCTATCTCAAGACTGGGAGCAAAGGCCAGGCATTATCTCAACTCACTTTTCCAGAAGACCCGACTCAGGTGTGGGAAGCTGATAAATCTCTGGGGACGTGACCCTGGGGCCTGGAGAGCAGGGCCCGAGTCCAGCTTCCAGGTGAGGGTGAGGCACGTGCACTGTCCGGGTCTGCACGCCCGAGGATTGTGGAAACTCCCCAGGAAGCCTCGCGCTTGCGCCTGACCCCATCCTAACGACACCCGGGGAACAACTCGATCCCAGGCAGGCCCGCTGCCACTTCTTTGGGGGAAGAGCTCCGTGGGCAGCTGGCCTGGGCAATGCCCGCTCTCCTCTTTTGGGGACCATTCCCAGCATTGGAGTTTCCACTGTCCTGTGACTAGATTCACACGCAAGTTAGGTGCAGGGACGGCTCTGGCCACACTTAAGAAGAAAGCCAATCACATGTGTTTACGGTGGAAACAGTAAACTGGGTTTATTGAAAACTGTTACAATTATTCTTCTCTTACACAGGTTTAAAATAGTTTAAAATGCCCTTTCCTGGGCATTACAGTTAAGACTTGTGAACACGTCTATTGGACTTTTAGGAAATGTACAATGTGTCACTTGACATTATAGTCTAAGTAGGGCCTAACGTCCTCGAGTTGTTACCAGAGGTTTTCTGTTTTCCGATTTTTCTTTTCGTCAGCATGTGCCCAATGATATAGATTAGGAGGAAAAAAATAAAACTCCGCCAAAAGAATTTCTGCAAATATAGAAGTAATTTTATTGCAATATACCGTAGCTAAGTGGTCTGGGGAGAATGGGACACTTCTTGACTTCAGTACAAATTACACCAGTTTGGAAGGGCGGACCGACAGAGGAAGAAAACGACAGAATGAAAGGGGGGAGGAATGAGAAATCAAGCGGGAATCACATGACCTAGAGAAACCCACAGGGTACGCGAGGCAGCCTGGGGTACGGCTTTTCTTTCGAAGGGGTGAACGTGGCAGTCGTTGGCGCCTGCTGGGTTCAAAAGTCTCTCGAAGCCAGACTTTTCTTTGGCAAGAGCAGGACTGGATTTCCACGGGCATTCGGAGATCCTCGTGGGCGGCGGTCTGTCTCTCCTGGGTGGCCGTGCGGTGGCTTCCTAAACGGGAACCACGGCTGGACGGGGCGGGGTGGGTGGAAGACAGCACCAGAGCTGCGAACACATCACGGCTCCTCCCGAGGGGGCCGCGCCGGGCCCTGGGGCCCAGCTTGCTTCTCCCGTCGTGGAAGGAAAGGGAGCTGCAGGAGGGCAGCTTTTCACAGTAAAGGGACGCCGATCCCCGCCAGCCTCGGGTCCTCGCCCGCGGAACGGAGCCCCGTGCCTCCGTGGGAGGGGACGCGCTCCCGAGCCGCCGGGGGTCGCGGGTGGAAATCCAAATCGCGTGTGTGGGACGGGGCCCCTCTGGCAGCCGGGCAGAGACTCGCAAAGTTCATTGCACATGTCTTTGTCTGCGGAGGCCGCGCCCAAGGCAGCCTGGGGACCCCTGAGCGGCTTCGACGCCGCTTTTGGGACAAACACAGAAGTTAGCACCACAAACTCTCGGAACCGAATACGATCTGCTATCGTGACACCGTAGGCGATGTGGAAGCCTCGTGCCTTGTGTGTGAGTGTCTGCAAACCACAGAAGCACAACCGAACACCGGTCACGGGCCTCGGAGCGGCCGCGCTTCCACCTGGGGTGTGAGCCCAGTGCCCAGCGGGAGGGAAGGGGACGGGCATTCGTCTTAACGTCCTTGGCAGAAACCCGGAGTGTGGAGGAAGGTGGGAGAGTGAGGCACGACCAAGCCAGGGTCGCCTTCAGGATCTCAAAACAGATAGCACCACAAAGAGAGTGTAAAATAAGCACCAATTTTCACTTAACCTTCATCTGCGGAAAACGCGGCCTCCCGCCTCGGCCCCTCTCCCACTCTGCGGGGAGACCAGCGGCGGGGGAGGCCGTTGGCTCGCTCCGCCTGCCTTTTAATCTAAGTGCCCGTAGAGAAGGCAGAAGATAAAACTCTTGCTTTCTTCTCCATTAAGAAAACAACCCAGAGCTAATAAAAAAACTGTCGGAGAAGGGGCACTGCACCTGCTTTCTCAACGGCGGTTGAATTCTTGATGCTCTGGGCAAATTTCCAAAGTATGGCTCCTTCTTGTGAAGGGTAGGGGTGGGGCCTCCTGGGTCTCCCCTGGACAGATTGCATACAGGGTGGACACCCGCCCTCGGCCCCTTCTCCCAGTGGGACTGAGCTGGGTTTGCCTGCGTGATTGAAAGTCAGGGACACCGAACACTTAGGAAAATACAATACAAAACAAATATTTACTCAACACTCACGAAAACAGAAGCACCTGGAATCCACTGGAAGGCACATGAAGAGTGACATCTGGCCTGTGAAGGGACCGTGTTCTGGGATCTGAGTCTCGGGGTGGGGGAGGGAGAGGGGTGACCTTTACGCGGCTGCCTTGGAACGTTTTTTGAAGGTCAGGGGGAATACATATCTTCAAGTTGAATTTTAAGAACTCATCTCCAAATACCGCAGCTCCTCCCACTCCCAGCCCCGGGAACTCTCCACGAGCACGGTCGGCGAGTTCGGTGGCAAGAAGTGTGGCCCGCTCCCTTCCCCGTGGAGTGCGGTGTAGACAGAACCGGGCTGGAGAAAGCGGGTTTGGGGCCCAGATGCTGTGGGACATTTAGGTCATGTGATTCGGCTCCGAGGTGGGGACACGGCTCTTTCCCTTTGCTCTCTCTGGTTTGGGGTGCGGCCCGGCAGAGTGCCGAGGCGCAGACGAGGTCGGGGGCGGGACGAGGGTCCTTCACTGTCCAGGACACCCACGGGCGGCGTGCTGAGGTCACGAGGTTGGTCGCGGGGGCCGGGCTCGCGGCTCCTAGCCCAGGAAGCAAGCCGGCCCCACTTCGAATCCGAATTTCTGTGCCGCTTCCCCGAAGTCATTGAACATGATGTCCACTATGGGCACTTGCTCGACCTTGGGCGTGTCGATCTCCAGCACCGTCTTCTGGTAGCCTTTCCTGGTCTAGGGGGGACAGGAGAGGCAGGTGCATCAGACTGGGGCTGGGCAGGGCCTCTCGGGTTTGTCCTACACCCGCCACACCCCGTCTGGTGGCAACGCGCCCGCCCAGAGCAGGCCTCACCTGCCGTGTCCCATTCAGTTCCCCCCACAGCCGGGAGCAGAGCTGGGGCAGGGTCTGCAGCCACTGGGCCCACCTCATCCCCCTGCCTGGCGGGACACCCCTGTAGCACTATAGGCTTTGCCCAAGGCGGCCCCGCCAGACTGCGGGCTCCCCCAAACCAGGGCCTCCTTGTTCAAAAACGAAGTACCCCAAGACAGCAACAGCTGCTTGCCAGCCCTGCCCTTGGTGTCGGCAGGCTGGTTGCGCTCAGAAGAAAGGGGACTCAGAAGGGCAAGAAGAGGAGGGAGGCTGGGTCCAGAGGAGGACTGGGTAAAGGGAGGCCCGGGGCCGAGGGCTGCATGGGAGGAGTGGCCTGCTGGGCAGTCAGTTCCTGCCCTGGCACAGACCAGGTGTCGGATGCTTCCGAGCCTCTCGTTTCACCCTCAACCTGACCTGGGGGTAGGACTCAAATGCCACCCGACCGATTAGGAGGGTGAGCCTCAGAGTGGTGACAGAGCTGTCCCGGGAGAGACGTTGTCCCTCACCCGCTGGGCCGTGTGTCACAGAATATGGGGAGAGAAGGCGCAGGACTGCCTGGTCCAGAAAGCCACCCGCACTCACCTCTGCTTGTTGAGGACACTCAGCGTGAGGCTAACATGGCCCTGACCGCCCGTCACCCCCCCCACGCCAGCGAGCGGACCCGCAGGGCGGTGCCCGACTTCTCCCCATCCGCCTCTCTTCCTCACCCAGGGGGTGGGGGAGTTTGCTGAACTGGTGGGGTGATTTCTCCTGGATTTATGGGGCCCCACTGGTCCAATGTCCAGAGCGTTCCAAGGGGGTGGACTTAAGTAGGCCACGCGCACGCTGCTCCGTTACCCCGTTACTCCTGAGGCATGAATAACCATCAGAGGCCAACAGTGGCCCCTGAGGGTGCGCAGGGCTCACAAACAGCGACTTAGGTGACTGAGCCTCTTCCCAGGCTGGCGCTGGGCAGCCTGTCAGTCAGCTGGAGAGGCCCGGCGGGAATCCCAATTTCACGGGCGCTGATTACAGCGTGAATCCAGCAGGCCTGGCCTTCTGTGTCATTATATGGGTGGGCGGGGGTGACTCTCCACATTGTGGCTGAAGTTCTGGGGGCTGGGTGGGGCGAGCGGAGCACTGGCTGCTGCAGGCGCAGTCACGGTACCCCCTCCCTGTTCTGCCCAGCCCAGCCGGCCCCCCGAGTCCCCCTCCAGCCAGCCTGCGGAGCCAGCTTTCCCCACCAGCACATTACTCTGTTTGGAGCGATCATTTCTCTTTTTCAAAGACGGACTCTGCTCTCTTTCCCAGATGGCACGGACTGGGTCAACCAGGGGGTTTCCCTTTCTGCCCTGGAGGCCAGGAAGCTCAAAGCCAGACCCCAGGCTCGGTCCCCAGGTCCTGCCTCTCCCTTATGGGGCTCCTCATGTCTCCTCACATCGCCGCCTTCTGCTAGTGGGCTGTGCTGCCTAAAAATAGTCCCAGGAGCGGGGGTTCTACCGGGCTCTTCCCGAGCCGAGCGCCGTTCTCAGCTCCTTTTTGGCGACTGGATGTATTCCTGGGACACCCCTGGGAAGCAGGTGCTATTATTACCCTCACCCGTGGGAGGCAGAGGCGTGAGGATAATTTTACTTCTGCCTCACGGCCTTCTGGGAGCAGCCAGGGGTGCGTGTCAGGAACAGGAACTGGGTCCCTCTGACCTTAAACGGGGACAAGTCCCTCACATTCCGCCATCAGACCTGAAGCGGGGACCCACACAGACCCGGGAGCAGGGGAGCAGGGAGCAGAGGCCGGGCACTCCACGAAGCCTGCTCAGGGGGCCCTGGCCTCGCTCTTGCCATTTCATCCCCAACGCAGCCCCCGGGGAGGTTATAACTAGACCCTTTTGTGGGTGCTTCCCAGGGCTAAGAGCACAGCCTGTCCCAGGGCGAGTCAGGGCACCAGGCAATACCTGGGCGTGGGTCCGCCAGGTCTGCTCTCGGCACCTACCCCTCCGCCCAGCCCTCTGGGTCAGCCCCGCGCTCTGGCCTCCACCTGACCCAGCCTGCTCGCAGCCCCGTCCCAGGACTCTGGCCCGGCCTGCACAGCGCAGACTCCTCAGCAGACGTAAAGGGAAAACCCAAATCCCACGAAGCCTTGACGGGAGGGCGTGCCTGTGACTGCACCTGCAGTGGGGACCGACCCAGGGGTGGGAGCCCTGGCTGATCCAGCACAAGGACGCAGTTTGGTACTGGGATGCCCCCGGCCTGGCACACACTGGGTCCAGGTCTGCCAGATGCCTGCTGCTCTGTTCAGAGTGGGCTGGGGGACAGCTGATGGGACGTCCAGAACCCGAGGAACCAGGTGGGTCACAGCTGGTTTACTGCACCCGGAATCTGCGGAAGGGCCTGTCTGCAGCTGGGCTCACGTGGGCGGGGAGAGTTTCCTAACCAGGAGGTGACCAGCCTGGAGCCTACAGAGAAGGGCCTCCACGGGCGCAGGGCTGGCTCTGGCCCTGCCTGGGGTGGAGCCACACTGGCTGATCCCCCATGGGATCTGGCCTGGGTGGGGCTATGGGCACGGTCTCTGAAGAACTGGTGGTGAAGAGAACAGGAACCTGAGGTCGGGATGTGACAGTAAGACCACAGAGACAGTGCTTCTTGGTGCCCCCACCTCCAGCCTCTGAAAGGCCCCAAGAAGAACATGTCTAAGGGTTTCAATAGGATGTGAACACAGCGCACACCTGGATGTGCAGACNCCCAGGAAGAACATGTCTAAGGGTTTCAATAGGATGTGAACACAGCGCACACCTGGATGTGCAGACCTGAGGGCTGCCCCTCGTCTGGGGCCCCTCAGTGTGCAGCTCCGGGCCTGGCACATGGTATGTGCNAGGGCACCCAGTGTGCAGCTCCGGACCTGGCACATGGTACGTGCCCAGTAAATTTGTGTTGAAGGAATGAATGAATGAATGCTCAGGTGTGAATGGATCCCGCCACACAGAGGCAGAGCCCACAGCAACACTCACAGCGCAGCCATCCACCAGGGCGTGGATGTAGGGGCTGTTGTCATAAGACATCTCCTCGTCGTTGGAGCCCAGGAAGCGCATAGCCTTGTCGTAGCTGCCCGTGGTGGCGTCCTGCCAGGCGACGGACTGGTAGCAGTTGTAGGTGATGTTCTGGTTGGCGGAGGCACTCAACAGACGCAGGAAGGTCATCTGGACCACACCCACGGGGTTGCCTTCAGCGTCCACGTAGGAGAGCTGTGGGGGGACAGGCAGAAAGGTGCTCAGCAGTGAGGGGACACACTGCACTGACAAAGCCCCAGGATAAAGCCGAGACTTCGCAAGCCTGATCCACCAGCTTTTTTCTCTGCAGCATGAACCACACCAGGGGCACCACCTGGAAATGGCCACATGCCCAGCACCAAAGGCCAGCTTGCATTGGCTTTCGTGGGCTCCCTGGAATAGAGTGAGCCATGCCTCACTTCTTTCAGGAACCTAAATAACTCACCCACTCCTCTGTGCCTGGCTGAACCTTATTCATCCTTCAGGGCTCAATGCATGTGCCTCCTCTTCCAGGAAGCCTCTCTGGGTTAGGTACACTTACCCCTCATCTGGTCTATCAGAGTGTAAGTCCCCTCTGTACCAGCACTGGACCCCAGGAGCATGTGTCCTAGGCACCTGGTACCTAGAAGGCAGCCCTTTCTGGACTGTGAGCCTTCTGAGGGCAAGACCATCCCTTTCATTGTGCCCTGAGGCTGGCAAAAGTGCTCATTAGATTATGTTAATGGGTGAAAACTGTGTGCTGAGGGTCAGTGACGTACGATGCTGGGCCAAGAGGCCATGAGAATGGGAGGTAGAGAGGGCAATGCCCGGGGGAGTAACTCAGGCCAGCAGGCAGGAAGGCTGGCCCGAGGGAGGGTCACAGGCCATATGGCAAAGAATCAGAAGGCTGGGGTGACCAGCACCCTCTTGGAGCCACAGGAGGGCCCTGGGATGGCACCCAGCACAACTATCCCTGCCCCTGCCCAGGCACAGAATCCGGGGAGCACAGACAGGACTTCGCGCAGCCGGGATGGTCAGCCTTGCCCAGCCTGAGCCAGGCAGCCGGGGGAAGAAGGTGTGCTTGTTCTCAAGTGACTTCTCCAGCATCACTAGACATCCAAAAACTGGGCTCTCCTGCTCGTGCATGGCATCCCGAGACACGAGCCCCTTGCAAACGCCAGCTTTCTGAACCCTGCACACTGCCAGGGGACGCAGCTGCTTCTTAACCCCGAGACAGCACGTCTCTCCTCCTGTCCCCTCTGTGGGAACAGACAAACGTCAGGGTCTGAGACCGGCCTGGCCCACCCCGAAAGAGCTGTGCGGAACACCAAAGAATTTCAATGGACCCTGTCTGCTTATTTTGTGCATGTAACTGGAGGGCTGACGGGGGTGGGGCCAGGCCTGGATCAGCTCCTTCCCACAGGGCAGGGGAGCCCAGAGCCACCGGCCCCCGCCAGCTGTTCATGTGGTAACTGGGCACCATACGGGAGGACCTTAGGGAAGAGGGATGAATACCAACCGCCGTCGGGGCCATCAGGTGCTCCTCTGGGAGGAAACGTGACTGACTCGAGAAAGGACGCATGCAGGGGAGGGGAGGCAGCAGCCGACTGGACACAGAGGACCTGAAGCTCCCAGTGCTGAGCAGAGCCCCGTGCTGGAACCCAGACCCCACCGTGACACCCTGCCCTCTGTGGGCAAGGCCTCTGCACTGTCATCATCACGTGGCTCGCCTGGGGCCGCCCGGCCCAGATAAAACCCCTATTCCTTCAAGGAGGGAGCAGCATCTCTGTCCTGTCCACTCGCGATGTCACAGAGGGGCAGAAATAATGAGTGGGAAATACAAAAGAGAAGCTGACATTTCCCCTGGACTGTCCCTTCACCTCCATCCTTGGTCAACTGTTTGTGAAACAGGACAGAAGGTGGAGGGGCTGGTGGCCCAAACAAAGGTTCCTTAATGTCTGGAGAAGGCTGGGCCACGCGGCTGCAGAAAGGACCCCACTGCCTCCCCTGGCCCTGGGTGGCTCCCTGCTGACTCCTGCACCCGTCACCCTGACCCTCTGCCCACCCAGCTTGGGTACTGGGTCCTGCCCTGTGTGGGCGTCCCCTTCAGGTCCTCTGTGTGCCAGAGCTCTTTCTGAGGACAGCATGAGAGGTGGAGGAGGGGAGAGAGCAGGACAGAGAGGAGGCCAGAAAGGAAGTCTCCACAAACGTGGCCAGGTGAGCACGAGCCTTCGGCGCCTGCAAAGACTTGAGGTGACTTGGAAATAAAGACGACCAGAGCGTGAGATATTAATAAGTAGCCAGGAGGTGCCTTGAGGTTTAGGAACGAAGGGTCTTCAGATGTGCAACAGGGCATAAGCCACCTGGAGGCCACTGCTTTGTGAACCCGTGGGGGGACCATGGCCTCTGTGCCCACCCTGAGAAGCTGGGGGGCGGGGACCTATGGCACATGGTCAGGTGTGAGGCCATAGAGCCCAAGCGCTGGCTTCTGAGGGAGAAAGGACCTTCTTCAAGGGCCACTTAGGGGTGGGACGGCTAGACCCAAGGAGGTGACCACAGGAAGCAGAGTGGGCTGTCACGACACTCGGAACAGACCACATTTTGGAAGCTGGGTCGTTTAACTTGCTAGGAAGAGGGCACAGACCTCTGCCCCCCGAAGTTCCCGAGGAGCCCAGGAAAGAGGCTCCTCTGTGCATCACAGCCACCGGCCTCGCCTGAACAAACCAATCAGGCCCAGTCTCTCCACCAGCTAGAAAAGCGTCTCACTGTTTTTCCAAGGGACGCCAAGTATTTTCATTTCTGGGAGGGGTTATTTAAGACCGGCTCCCAGAAGTTGAAACAGACACTGATGTAGCATTGGGGATGCAACTGAGACTTCAGGGACAGTTGGGCACAATCAGAACGGCCCTCAGGCCGGGGAGGGGCCCGCGGGCTGGGTCCTGGAGAGAACCCCAGTGGTTCAGTGACCTGGGACCGGCCGCTGGGACTGAGCAGGAGGAAGCCCTCTGCTCCCGCTGTTCGGTCTCAGTCCCCGGCAGCTGTGGCTCTGGGCGTCCTGAACCCGTGCCCTCAACGGAGCGGAAAACCATTCGCCTACTCCCAGGCTGAAAGGGGCCGTCGTGGGGGCGGCGGGGTGAGCATGATGCGTCCGCTGTCAGGCGCCGCGGAGCGGTCGGGGGTGGCGAGAGCAGGGGCCGCCGCGGCGGCCGTGAGTCCCATGCAGAGCCGCGAGCCAGGCCGTGCGGCAAGCAGGCAGCGCCGGTGGCACTTACCAGGGACCCGCGCTTGTACTGACTATACCAGGTGGAAGGCTGCTCTTTGGGCCAGCGGGCCATTTTACTCTGTAAGATAGGAAACGGGCGGCTTTAAAGGACAGCTGCAGGGGGGCGGAGCCGCCTTACCAGTTTACCGCGCTTGAATTCACTGAACCAGGAACCCGGGTTTTCTTTGGGCCAAGAAGTGATTCTGGCCTAAACGTGGAGCAGGGCGGGGGCAGAGGGAGAGAAACAGAGAAGGACAGGGTTACTTCTCCTGCCTCCACGAGACACGCCTCGTCCTGCAAACACACCTTCTGCCCCGCGGGCCGCCCCGTCCTGCCCTCGCTCGAGGTGGCGGCGGTGACTGGCCAGGAAGGGCTCCTTTGGGTGCCTCTGACTGCCCCCAGAGCTGAGGCACCGCTGACCGTGACAAGGACAGAGGAGCCCTGGTGCTTCCCAGGTGCCAGCACCTGCTTCATCTTATCAGTTTATCCAGCATCGAAGACACGGCCTGGCCCTTAGTAACTGCTCAAAAGTGCCTGTGGACCGACTAAGTGAACGAGTGAACCAGTGAATGGACTGTCACAGGCCGGGCTGACCATGATAATAATAGGAGCCAACATTTGCTGATGGGCTCAGGGAAAGACGAGCCCTGGCGCTGAGGAGGGTGGCTCTGTCTGTACAGCCTCCACCTGGGGCCAGGGTGGGCAGGAGACCCTGCCAGTGCCCATGGGTGTTGGTGAAACAGCTGGACCAGGTGTGTGTGGGTGCTGTGTGTGTGTGATGTGCGTGTGTGTGGTGTATGTGGTGTGTGTGGTAGGGTGTCCTCTCTTGGAGGAGTGACCCAGGTGGGGGGATCCCCTGCAGCACTAGCATTGTCCTGAGCTCCTCCCATGGGTCCCTGAGAAATCAGCACGAAGCAGAGGCGTCCTCAGGAGGGACAGCCTCTGTCCCCCGAATGGGAGGGAGGGGTCCCCATTTGGAGTTTGCTCTTGCCAGGGGCTGAGGCGGCAGGAATGCTGTGGAATCAATGGATGGGGAGTCAGTGAATGAATGAATGAATGAATGAATGAATGAGTGACACCCTTGTGTGGCCAGCTCCAGAGCAGAGGTACAGAGCCGCAGCTGCTCGTGGATCCACGTGCCTTGGGACAGAGACTGGACAGCCTGTCCCCAGAACCTACAGGGCCTCTGCTTGGGCCCCAGGTCAAGATTCTTGTCCCCATTCCCCAGCTCTCCTCTGAGCTGGCCTCGGGCAGGAGCTGGGGGACAAGGGTGTCCAGGCTGCCTCCGGCCCCTCAGGACCTCTATCCCTCTTGCTTTGGCTTCCAAATCTGCGGCTGTGGTGACACGCTCAGAGTGTGGCCTCCTCAGGGACAGGATGAGAGATGTGGGCAGGCGCTTGCCTCACCCCAGCTTCTGCCTGAGCCCCTGCCCTGTGGTCCCGATGACGGGGCAGAGGGTCTCTGCCTGCACGAGGCAGTGGCGTGGCCTGAGCCCGAGGATCCCAGCCATGGATGCCTGGCTGGTCAGTACACGTGCAGAGGAAGAGGATGGGCAGGGGGTCGCTCAGCACCCAGCCCACTGTCCGCCCAGCTGCACCACCAGCTAGGGCCCCGGGAGGGTGTACTGCCAGCTGTCCGGCAGCGAGGCCATTTGCAGAGGACAGTGACAAAAAGGAAGAGAAACAGTGTCGTTTCCCCCTGACTCTCCTCCTGGGCCTCTGCCCGATGGAAGGTGCTGACTTCTGAGTCTTCTCTTGACCCTCAGGGGGTCTGTTGCTGGGAGTGCAGGTTCCCAAGGGTTTCAAATTCTGGGTTGGGGGAGTGTGCACATGAAAAAGAGGTCCTTAAATCGTCCCTGTCAGTGTGGACCCCTGTTCCTGGGAGCTGGGCTTTCCAGCCTGGGGGTGCTGGAGCTCCCCTGGGCTACAGCAAGATTTAGGGATCGGGCTGTGCCCAGAGGACGGAGCTGCTCTCTCCAGAGACAGTACATGTAGGTGCTGAGCCCACTGGGGAGCTGTGCCTGCAGCTGCTGACTCTGCTGGCCCGAGCCTGAACCCTCGCGGCAAACATGGCCTCGAGGACCCGACCACCCTGGTCACAGGACAGCTAGCTGTCGAGGAGGGACATATGGAGGGACGTCTGTTCAGGCCAATGCACAGAGCACTGAGGCCAACGTCTCCGTGACCTTCCCCATTGGAGGCCCTGTCCTCCTCACCTGTCCTAGGCCAAAGCGGGCCCAGCCTCCGACTCACGCATGGCAAAAAGCAACACACGCCTGCCATGTACCCCATGTACACACACACACACACACACACACCCATCCACACACCTGTCTGCACACACACCATCCACATGCCTGTCTGCACACACAAACATACACATACACACCCGCTCACACTGTCCACACACACATCAACTCCCACCACTGATGTGAGGCTTCTGGAAGACCAGACATAAGTGTTAAAGTGACCCTCACAAAATCTCAATGGAGCTGAGCCTCCCTAATGAAAATTCTTTACCAAAGTTCTGACTGCATTCAGGAGAGCCAGCAGCAAACGCTGCAAAAGGAACGGACGCCGAGAATTCAGGGGAAACACCAGCTTCTCAAAGATGCATCTGGGTCACTGTTGCCCCCAAGCCCTCCCGTGACTTTCAGGCTGGTCTGAGGTCAAAACCAGGGAGTCACTTTAGGAGGGAGTTGACCAACCCGTGGATGGCGGGGGAAACGGGAGCTTGAGTCCATCTACTTCTGTTACCTGGGGCTGCACTAACCCCGGCCCATTGCTAAAAATCCTCCTGAAGGACCTTCAGGGATACTTCTGGACAAGGACCTTAATTTGAAACTGGCCACTTTCCAGTTTTCATTCCTAAAGCTGCATCTGTGAAAGGGCTAGGCCCTGGACCTGGCGGCTGTGGGAAGGAAGCGACCATGGGGCAGGCACTTACCCCCTCGGACTTCTTGTCTGGGAAGACGCACGTGGCCCCTCCGGCCGTGAAGTTGCAGTAAACTTTGAAAGAGTCCCTGGAGCAGCCTTGGTTCGGGTCGACCCAGTATTCACCTGCATTGTGGGGGGTGGGAGGCGTGAGGACTGCGCCCTGGGTGGTTCCAGTGGTAGCCGTGCCCCGTCCTGGCCCCTAGTTTGCCCCACGGGGCCCTGCTCGCCGCCGCCCCTACCATCGGGGAAGTCAGGGTGGCAGAGCTGCAGGTCCTTGCAGGTGCGGGCAGGGTTGTCCTGTGTGCCCAGGGGCCGCTTCATCTGCTCGATCTCTAGCTTCAGGGAGTTGAGCGAGCCGAAGATCTCCTCCATGCCGTCCGCATAGTCCATGTAGTTCTCGCCATCCCCGTCGTCCAGCATCTGGCTGGCGTCGATGTTCCGCCGCGTCCTGGACGCCTGGATCGGCAGGGGCTGGATGACCTCGCCCGGGGGGCCCTGGGTGTGGGAGAGGGGCAGCGGTGGGTGGGACAGGGTGGATGGGCTGNCACACACATCAACTCCCACCACTGATGTGAGGCTTCTGGAAGACCAGACATAAGTGTTAAAGTGACCCTCACAAAATCTCAATGGAGCTGAGCCACCCTAATGAAAATTCTTTACCAAAGTTCTGACTGCATTCAGGAGAGCCAGCAGCAAACGCTGCAAAAGGAACGGACGCCGAGAATTCAGGGGAAACACCAGCTTCTCAAAGATGCATCTGGGTCACTGTTGCCCCCAAGCCCTCCCGTGGCTTTCAGGCTGGTCTGAGGTCAAAACCAGGGAGTCACTTTAGGAGGGAGTTGACCAACCCGTGGATGGCGGGGGAAACGGGAGCTTGAGTCCATCTACTTCTGTTACCTGGGGCTGCACTAACCCCGGCCCATTGCTAAAAATCCTCCTGAAGGACCTTCAGGGATACTTCTGGACAAGGACCTTAATTTGAAACTGGCCACTTTCCAGTTTTCATTCCTAAAGCTGCATCTGTGAAAGGGCTAGGCCCTGGACCTGGCGGCTGTGGGAAGGAAGCGACCATGGGGCAGGCACTTACCCCCTCGGACTTCTTGTCTGGGAAGACGCACGTGGCCCCTCCGGCCGTGAAGTTGCAGTAAACTTTGAAAGAGTCCCTGGAGCAGCCTTGGTTCGGGTCGACCCAGTATTCACCTGCATTGTGGGGGGTGGGAGGCGTGAGGACTGCGCCCTGGGTGGTTCCAGTGGTAGCCGTGCCCCGTCCTGGCCCCTACTTTGCCCCACGGGGCCCTGCTCGCCGCCGCCCCTACCATCGGGGAAGTCAGGGTGGCAGAGCTGCAGGTCCTTGCAGGTGCGGGCAGGGTTGTCCTGTGTGCCCAGGGGCCGCTTCATCTGCTCGATCTCTAGCTTCAGGGAGTTGAGCGAGCCGAAGATCTCCTCCATGCCGTCCGCATAGTCCATGTAGTTCTCGCCATCCCCGTCGTCCAGCATCTGGCTGGCGTCGATGTTCCGCCGCGTCCTGGACGCCTGGATCGGCAGGGGCTGGATGACCTCGCCCGGGGGGCCCTGGGTGTGGGAGAGGGGCAGCGGTGGGTGGGACAGGGTGGATGGGCTGCACACTCCTGTCCATGGCTGCACACTCTTTTCTTCTCTCTTCCCTGCCTCAGGAACATTCCACACCCATCCCTACTGCCAGGCCTTGTGGGCACCTAGCACCTCCTCTGACCTGAGTCCAGGTGCCCCTAAGGCCCTGCCCCAGCCGGCCCCACCCGCCTGTCTGTCTGCACAGCCAGCCCTCAGCGCGCACAGCCTGGCCTGGTGTTCCCATGTCTGTCCTCAGCTAGGCTCAAAGCACCGGACCTCTTGCCTCTGCTGCCCGACGCGGGCTGCACACAGTGGGGCTGCATTAATGCTGGCAAGGCGAGAAGCCTTGTCTTCCTGGGGCTGTGTCAGGAGGCCCCAGCCAAGGACAGGGACAGGAGTCACAGCTGCACTGCCAAAGGGGGGCATCCCATGATACCACCGGCTTGTGGGGCTGCATCCTGAACCTTAGGGCCTTGTCTAGTGTGGCCCACCCCACACGTGCACACACGCACACACACGCACACACTCAGGTACACACACAGATACACGTGCGCATACATGTACCTGCTTTCTCCCTCTCTCCCTGTCTCTCTCTTCCTCCCTCTGTCTATCTCCCCCTCTCTCTGTCTCTCTGGCTAGCCAGACTTCCCAGGGGAGGTAGCCTGGGTGACTTTTCCCTCAGCTCCATCCCAGGGACAGGTCCCACCCTTCCACTGCCATGGGTCCCCTAAAGTTTGGAAAGTGAACCGTACACACAGATCTTCCTGCGATGCTCTCAGCATTAGGAGAACCCCACCCCCACCTCCAAGTCTCTAGGCTGCTCACCGGTGGGCCGGGGGGTCCTGGGTGGCCTGCCTCACCCTTCGGGCCAGTCGGACCCTAGGGAAAAAGAAAAGAGAACCAACTGTGACCACCGAGGCCTGCTGTGACCTAAATCCCGCTTGGGGTCCTCAGCAGCCTGTGTGGAGAAGACGGAAGGACAAGTCTATCGTGCCAGGTAGGGTGACAGCTCCCCTCTCCCCCTGTAACCCCCAAGCTGGGAACTTAGGGGGACAAGGTCTTTTCTGTAAGGCAGAGAGCAACAGCCCAACCGCTGGGTCGGAGACAACTTGGGCTGGGGATGAGCTCAGGATAGCTCAACAGGAGCTTGATTGACCAACCACTGAGAGTCAAGGAGAGGGGGTGTCCAGGGGGCACACCCCCTTCCTCCGAGGCGGTAGGGCCCATTCAGGGGTGCGCATCACTTACCGAGGAGCCCTTAGCACCTTTTGGACCAGGAGGGCCCTGCAGAGAGTAGGGAAAGAGCATGAGCGAGCCCGAGGCCCCTTCACCTCCAGGTACTCACCTTAAACCCACAGTCCCCCTTGGCCAGGCCTTCACCCCTCCTGGTGCCCGTGTCCCCCTTCCCAGGAGTCTACACTTGCGTTTGCTTAACTGGGAGATGGGGAAGGGGCTGGGGTGCGGCTCACCCACACGGAGGCAGGGAGGGTCCTGTCTGCCCCAGGTCGGCCCCCCAACCTCTCCAGCAGGAAAGCCAGAGTCAGAGGGGGAAGAGTGTGTGCTGGTCTCAGGCCCTGACACAGAGCCTTCCGCCCCTGCAAGCAGCTGGCAGCTGGGGCCGGTTTCGGATCAGCGGGGGACACCTTGGCCACGTGGACCCAGGCCCTGGCCCAGGTGGGCACGGAGGCTGGCTGGGTTAGGCAGGTGAAGGCTCCAGGCCGCGGGGGATGACTTTATAGGACTGAGTATTGTGGCAACATGGGAGGCCCTGGCTGGGTGTGGTGCCCCAGCCCCTCAGGTCCGGGCCAGGCTGGCCCTGCTTGGACTGAGGAGGAGGCTCACTTCCCCCAGATGCCTGCAGGGGAAAGTCTACGTTCCCAGAGCTGCCCAGAGATAGAGGTCCCCCTGCCAGAGACCCTACTTCCTTGCTTCTATCACTCAGAACCCCCCTGTGGAGTGAATCCACTCCAGGGGCCCCAATCCTGGGGTCTCACACAGCCCTGTAATTCTCTAGCCACACAGAGGCCCACGGCCGGACCACCCCTTCCCTGCTCTCCCAGCACCAACCGGGGGACCACGCACCCCTCCCAGATACACACCGGCAAGCCAGGAGGGCCCGGGGGGCCGATCGGGCCGGAAGGACCAGTGATACCCTGCGAAGGAGCAGAAAATGCAGTTACCAGGGGACAAGGGGCGATGGAAGAAATTCGTGTTCTGTCCACACAGCCACATCTCAACCCAAGTCCGTGTCTCCCCTCACGGCTGCCCTCCGACTCTAAGTCAGGGCCTGGGGGGCCTGAATGCCCACCAGGAGGCTGGCCATCCCCACGCACGGCTGCCCAGGCCGGCGGGAAGGACCTCTCCAGCATCGACGGCCACAGGGAGGTGACTTCGCAGTGAGACATACCTTCTGATGCTCTAGTTTGAGATACAGAAGCAACCAATCCCGCATCCTGGCTGGGTCCCCTCTTGCTGTTTTCCGTCACGGGGCGGGTCTCCTCGCTAACATAGACCCCAGGGGACGGGGCAGGGAGTGCCCAGTCTATTCCATCTGTCCTGTCTAGCCTCTCAATGGCCTTTCCCACACTTGGAGCTTGCAGCCTCTGACCAGCCCCACCCTCCACACCGGCCAGGCCAGCTGGTGGTCACAGGGCCCTGACGCTCACTTCACCTGGAGCCCCATCCTCAGGGTCCCCCCCTGGGGTGAAGCTAAGCCAGGGTGAAGGGAGACGAGATCAGATGCCTCCCCGGAGGCTGGTGCCTTCTCTCTTCATGTCCACGGAGCAGGGAAGGGGATGGGGGGACAGGGATGGGAGATAGGGAGTGGGGGGATGAGGGCATGGGTCACTGTGAGAATCCCAGAGACTCTCTGGGCAGCACCTCCCATCAGCAATGCCGCCAGGACCAGCCTGGGGTGAGGGCACAGAAGGGAGCTTCCCTTTGGCAGCAGGCACCCTGGACATCTTTCTAAGTCTCACGATTGCTGTGGCTCTTGTCTGAGAGCACAATCATGGCCTGGGGACACTGGGCAGTGGGGAAATGGTCAACAGCAAGGGGGGAACAGCAGTGGATGAGGCACGGCTTCCCAAGGACGCCACCCCACAACCTTATGCAGCCCAAAGATGGTTCTACTTTGTTCTCTGCCCCATGGGCTCCGCCCCTTCCAGTCTGTCCCCTTCTAGGCCAGATATGGGCACAGCTCCAGGGCACATGTATGCCCCCATCATGCCTGGCCTGGGATGCGGTGATTGACAGGCTGGGATGAGGCCTGTGGCCCTCAGGTGGGGAAGGGCAAAGATGGCAGGTCTGCCTCCAGGGCTCACATCACCCCTGGGGGCCACGGGTCCTCCTGCGCCCTGCCCTCCCGGCAGAGCTGCGCGTAGCTCATAGGTGCCAGGCCGGGTGGAACTCTCGGGCTATGGCTCTTTCACTGTGCTTCGCGGGGGCTGCAAACTCCAATCAGCTACAGAGGCTCCCAGGGCAGGGCAGGGCCAGGTGTGCACACTTGGGGCCAGGGTGGGAGCCCGCCCCAGGTCTCTGGCAAACACCCCTTAGAATTGCCAATGACCTTCTGGCCAATGAGCTGGGTCAGAGGCTCCTGCACAGAGATGGTGTGAGATGTGTGCACCTCTGTGGCCACTGCGGCCATAAGCAGGGAGCGCCTGCCACGGTCAGGGCCCAGGCCAGGCTACGGTTTTGTCCCAGCTCCCTGTGCACCTGGCAAGCTGTCCCTGTCTGGACCAGGGGACGTGAGGCTGCCCTTCCACCCTGGCTCTAACACCTTGCCTTTGTGCACAGAGAGCCAGGGTTCTAAGATGCTTCTGCTCCCCTCGAGGAGCTTCGCTGGGAGGGGCACGTCACACACCTGTTCTCCCTTGGGGCCGGAGGAGCCCTGAGGGCCCGGGAGACCGCGGTCGCCCTTTTCACCCTGTTCCCCCGGAGGGCCGATGAGTCCGATCAGGCCTGGATGACCCTGTTGGAAACAAAGGCGTGAAGGGCGGTGGCCCTGGCAGAGCCTCACGTCCAGCCACGTGGGGCAGCGAGACGGGGCACCACGCCACATCACCGGGTGCCACCGAGTCACCAACCAACGTCTCCTGGAACAGAAAGAAGCCCGACGGGCAGGTCGGGGACACAACAGCAGATCTGATATGGAAAAACCCTAAGAAACGAAGTCCCACACCCAGACCAGGGATAGGAGTTCCCGGGTGACACTGTTCATCCCCATCTTGTCACTGAGATGGGTTTTCCAACTTTTCCGTGGTAAACATGTGCGAGACAGGTTTCACGGGCCACGTGGAGAGGGAGTTAGAGACTATCACAAAGACTATCATTATATTCATATTTTTTTAAAGAAAAACCCTATATATATGTTCACATGAGATTGTTTACTTTACATGAGCCTGTAGAAAGTTCTGGAAGGATTCCTCCAGTTTTCGTTATATTAGGGGGTGGGGTGGACGTTAACATAGAAAGAGAGAGACCCCACACTGCCTTCTTTCTATACAGTTATCAGGCTTTTAAGTGAGCTTTACATTTATAAATAATCAATATTCGCACAGGAAAATCACCCCCAATGAGAGAAAACGAGAGGCTCTGCCCCTGCAATCCCCGCACACTTCCCGTAGGAAGGATCCGAGACCCACATCAGAGCGAGTGTCTGCTTCTTGGATCCCGGACGCCCTGCAGCTGGGACCTCTGCGCCGTGTGGGCCTCATGGGTCCCAGCTGAGGGAGGGACTGAGTCTCTGACCCGGCACAGGTTTGTTTTCTCTGCGTCTCTGCCCTCGGGTGCCCGGCCCAGCCTGCAGTGGGCACTCGACAAATGTGGGCGACGGCTCAGTCTCACTGAGTTTGAAATCACCGTGTGTGTGTGAAGGGCCCGGGATCACAACCGCAGCGGCATCAGTGCTGCCTTACCTTTTCCCCTTTGGGGCCAGAATCTCCTTTGAGGCCGGGGAGTCCTGGGGGACCCTGCAGGAGGAGGGTTAGGGTCAGGTTCTCTCCCAGTCCCGTCCTCCACCACTGCTGGGGGTTCCTTGGGGCAGCACTCACCATGGGGCCGGGGGGGCCATCGGGGCCTGGGGATCCTGGGAGTCCTTGTTCACCCTGAAACACAGCAGGCCCTTCGTGTGAGCCCCACCATGCCTGTCCCTGTGCCCATGCCATCCTCTCCCAGGCCTCCCTGGTTCACTCACCACCGGGCCGGGGATCCCTCGCAGGCCATCAGGCCCAGGTTTCCCAGGGGCCCCCTGAGGGCCAATGGGGCCAGTCTTCCCAGGAGGGCCTTCTAAGCCAGCTTCCCCCTGCAGGGCGGCAAGGCGAATAGAGTGGGACCCAAGTGCAGAGACTCTGGTCACCCTGGGCCAGGACGCTGCTCAGAAACTCCAACAAGCCTTGGCAAGAACCCTGAACCCCCCCCAGATATCCTAGGGGTGCCCCAATTTTCCACATTTCTGTGGGAGCTGCCTGGCCAATCCTCCATCTCGCTAATTCCCTCAGCCAGCTGGGCTCCCCATTCCCCAGGGATCACGCCAACTATGGCGTCTGCGGCCACCACAGCAGTTACAGTGGCCCTGAGCTTGTGGTGGACACGGTCACCACTTCCTGAGCAGGCTCAGGGCCAGACAGCTTCCACCGGGGTCCTGGGAGAACAGCCATGAGTGTGCTCACTGCCACCTTCTCAGCCCCTCGGCGGACACTGTCGTAGCCTTGCCTCCCAGGTGAGGAAGCTGAGGTGTGCCCAGGTCGACACCACACCTGAGGTCACACAGCACCCCGGTCTTCCTGACAACAGCACCTGCTCCCCTTCCCTGGGCTAGTGGGACAGACCCTGGTGCCAGGATCCTGGACCCCAGTGGCCAGAGCCACCACTGAGCTTCCTCAGCTTTGGAGAAGGCTGATCGTCTGGCCNTCGACACCACGCCTGAGGTCACACAGCACCCCGGTCTTCCTGACAACAGCACCTGCTCCCCTTCCCTGGGCTAGTGGGACAGACCCTGGTGCCAGGATCCTGGACCCCAGTGGCCAGAGCCACCACTGAGCTTCCTCAGCTTTGGAGAAGGCTGATCGTCTGGCCCAGGTTTGCAGACAGAGCCAGGCCTCCCAAGGCCTTGCAGTTCCTCCCTGCCCCTGTGACTTTCCTATGGTCACACAGTTCACTGCATCCTATCCAAGTTGCCATCGGCTCTACGAAGTCACGGCCGTGCAGAGAAGCTCTTACCTTGGCTCCTTTCTCTCCCTGTCTGCCTTCAGGGCCTGCGGGCCCCGGGGGACCCTGGAACAGGAAAGAGAAACACACGTGATGAGTTGGCTACAGAAGCAGAGTGAGCTGAGGGTCTGCAGGGAGACAGGCCTGGGCGTGGAGGGGCGTGGAGGGGAATGGAGGGGCGTGAAGGTAGCTCCCAGGCCCTGGGACCGGGCGAGGCAGGCCTTTAGATGGAGCCAAAATGACTCCAGACCCCTGGAACAGACCTCAGGGTCAATGTGGGGAGGCTCTCTGGCTGCTGTGAGCACTGGGGGGGAGGGGGGTGGCACCTTTTCTTGGTCTCACACCCAGCAGCTCAGTTTTTGCAACACCAGCAAAAGGCCAGTTACTCAACGTGCAAAGAAATGCCTCGCAGCTTGTTCTGCTTCTCAGAGGCCTGGGAAAAAGGCATTTTTCAGCTTCGTGGGTGTTTTTCTCCCAGGATGGCCATTATGACGGTGTCAGCACTTGGCTCCTCCTAAAAGGAGCAGGCGCATCGACCCGGCAGGTCTGAGATTTGATGACATGGTGGGAAGCCGAGTGGCAGATACACTCCACACGGAAGCATTTTCCTCGTCAGTGCTTCAAGGGCCAGGGCCCAAGGCAAGGGGGGGGGAAGGCTTCATGCAGAAAGCTGGCAAGAGAGGAAGGGTTTGCAGAATTATTTACCCTTTTTCCTGGAGGTCCGGATGGACCTGGCTCACCAGTGGGGCCTGGGGATCCCTGGAGTCAGAGAAAAAACAGAATTGAGGAATGGGGGTCTGCTGGACAGAGGCGTGGCAGGGCTGAGCCGGGCTGAGGCTAGGAGAACACACTGAGTTTCCATCGAGTCCGTCCTCGGCAGCCCTGACCCTGACTCCTTGGTCTCAGGAGCCGGCGCGCCCAGGCCTGAGTGCAGGCGTCCTGGGGTTCTCTGCTTCGACCTCAGCGAACATTGCAATGCCGGGCGCGGAGCATGCGGAGGCCTGACCCGAATCCTGACTCACTGCTGTGTTTGGAAGAGCCCTGTCCCACCCCATAGGCCATCACCCACGACTCTCAGTGACGAGCTCAATCCACACCACCACCTGAGAGCATTGCCTGCAGCAGAAGTGGATGTGGAGACCCAGGGAGGACAGGTGCTGTCCTAGATCCCAGGCTAGGACTTAGCAGTGGGGACCTGTCCTCAGGGCTGGTGTCCCTAAGCTGCCTTTGCATATTGCTCCCCTAAAATCAGTGACATCGGCCTATGCTCTCAGGTTGAAAATCCCAGCAGCATTTGCCATGTGGGTGGGGGGGTGAGCTGTGAGGACTCAGGGTTGTCCCCAGGGGCTCCCATGCAGAGGCTCACTGGTGTCTGCTCCATCCCAGAGACTCGTCTTGAAGAAATGTTTCAAAACCTCAAGTAAGGTGTAGGGCCCGACCCAAGGGCCCGATGTGATTTGTCTGAGACAATCGACCTGGTTAAGCAGAAATAAGCTACTCCTGAGGCTCATGGGTGGCTCTGGGGCGGGTCACCAGCTCCCTGTGGGCAAAACCACTGGCAAGGCTGAGTGTGCATTTTCCTTCTGAGAAGAGGGTCCATGCTTTCAACAGACCCCCAGAGGGAGCCCATGGCCCAGTTATAGTTAAGAATCAACACTACAAGGTAACTGGGTTTGGGTTTTTCTCAGAAATGAACAAAGCAAGTTGCAAATCCCAAGAACACACTGAGGTCATGGCAGACTCACCGTTTGCCCGGGTTCACCATCGTCCCCTTTGTCACCAGGGGGACCATCTTGACCCTGTGGGGATGAACGCAAGACCCTTCAGTCTCCTGGACAGCACCCGAGTCCATGCACTGACCCCTCAGTCCCATCCCCAAAACCCAACCCTAACAGTAGGGCCGGGACACAGCACATTCAAAAGTAGGAAGACGTTTCTCCATCCAATAGGCACAGTGTGGATGCCACTTGGGAAGGCACTGTGCCCCAAGGAGAGATCATGAAGAAAACACCACCAGAAAGAAAAAATAGGGCTGGCAAAGGCAGGTCAGCACCGTGGCGAACTGAGGGGCTCTGCAGCTTCAAACACCTACCGCGGGGCCGGGCTCTCCAGGGGGACCAGGATCTCCGGGAAAACCGACGGGGCCCTGAAATGGAGAAAGGCATGGCCAGGCCATCAGCACCTGGCCTGGAGCACACACTGCCCAGCTGTCCCTGGGTGAAGGCCGCCTCCCTGCCAACCACCCCGAGAACATTCTGAGAATTATGAGACCACAGTGCCCTTCACCACCTAGGAGGCCTGTTCGAGCATCATCTCATTTGAGTCACACAACAAGCCTGGAAGGGGCACGCAGGACCGGTCCTCTCACCCTCTGGAGGCCATACTTTCCATTCCCGAGCTCCAGGCTGGACCCTGGGCTTCTAGAATGTGCAGCTCAGAAGCCCCTCTTGACGCCGAGCCAGGGTAGGCCACAGGACGGGGGTGTGGGCAAGGGGCCCATCCTAGCACGCCACCTGTCCACGTGCGGGACCCCCAAAGGCCATCTCCCTGCCCCACTCACCTCCACTGCTTGGGATCAGTATCTGGGTGAAAACCTCTAACTAGAAATTTTCCCCAGGACACGTGATGGCCGAGGAGCTTTAGTGCACTTGGAAGAATCAGGACATCGACCCGCAGAGCCCCCACCCCAGCTTCGGGGGCCCCGGGGATCTCAGAGCTACTCACGGGGCTGCCTTTGGGACCGTCGTCTCCAGGAGGGCCTTTGGGTCCAGGGGGTCCAGCAGCACCAGAAGGGCCTGCCTCGCCCTTCTCCCCCCTTTCTCCTTTGGGTCCCTGCAGGAAAGGGCCAGAGTTCATGTGCCCAGTGCTGACCACACCGTTTCCCAGAACAAGGCACTGGCCTGCCGTGCGCCCCTCGGTGACATCACACGGAAGGGCTGTAGTCCTCTCTCAGGTTGTCAGGCGAGGTGCTGGGCCGGTGGGTCTCAGAAGCTGCCAGTACTCCCCATGAGAACCTGGCCCCGCTGTCACCAGCAGGTGGCCTAAGGATCCCACTGGCTTTCTGGGGTCCTCTGAGGCCGAGACTGCCTCTAGGTGGGAAGGACTGACCCCTGGACTAGACAGTGGGCAGTGCCAACCCCGAGAGGCCACCCTCTCTGTGGTTCACAGGTGGAGGGAGCAGCTAGACGCCCAGGAGATCTTTGTTCATCAGCTGCCTCCTGGGCCCTGAACACCCCCACAGGCAGGCCTGAAAGAATTCACATCTGCCCTGCAGGGGTCTGAATATTCCACATTTACAGCAGCCTGTGGAAGGGCCCAGAACACCACAGACGGCAGCTTGCAGCCATTGGGTGTGGGTATTCATTGCTAACGTCTGTCTGCACACACACATACACATGCAAGCATGTAAACACACACACACACAAGCCAGCACACACACACAAACATGCACATGGATGCACACTTGGATGCACACATATGCTCACGCATTTCCTTTTTTGCAGTATCCCATGAGGTAAGCACAAGAGGACATATGCTCCCATTTCAGGGATGGGAACACTAAGGTAAAGTGGGAGCTTCCCACCCAGCCCCTGGGCATGGTGGCTCCCAGAGCCCACTCACTCACCGGGGGGCCCCCTTCTCCAGGAAGGCCAGGCTCACCAGCTTCGCCAGGCTCACCCTAAGGAGGAAAAGCGGTGGTCATGGTGGTGATGAGAGCAGTGGCTCCAATATCAAGCATTTCAAATGCTCCCTGATGTGGGGCACCAGGGCAAGGGGACT